TCCTTCCTCGCCTGTCCCTTCTGAACAGCCTGTAGCCATCAAGAGCTACATTCCAGTCGTGGGATTCATCCCACCAAGTTTCCATGATGGCAATCAGATCATAGCTTTCCAGCAGGACGATTGCTTCCAGCTCCTCCTGTTTGTTTCCCATGCTGCGTGCGTTTGTATAAAGGCATTTCATCTGAGCCGTCGGCCTCGTCACCTTCATAGCAGAGCACTCCTTTTTTCCCTTGAGGTGCTTCATATTTCTATTCATATTCAATATTTGCTAATATTAAAGTCCTACAGAAAAACCCATGCAAGTGAAAAGCATGTGGGACACCTGCAGGTCTACTGTAAGCCTAAGTAATATTTCTGCTTCCTCTCACGGACTCTTCCTTATGCTCCTTTTGCAGCTCATGCTGTGCTACTCCATGGATGAAAAAAAAAGATGAATAAGATTGAATTAAGTATTCTTGGGTCTTGAAAAGAAAAAAAATAGGGAATATAGTTACCTTGAGAGAGGGGTGTGTTTTAAGTTTAAGTTGTTTTAAGGTAGTATTTTGCATTTCAGTCTCAGATGTGGGAAACAGGAAGTGCGAAGATAATTACGGCTCAGGCACTTTTCTCAGGCATGCCTGTGTTTTGCACACGAAGCTGAAGTAGTTTCAGCTTAGTTTCAATTTGTCTTGAAATAGGTAATTACTAGAGAGGAAAACAGCAACAAATCAACCCAAGACATTTTCTTACCCTCAAGATGAAGCAATTCTGGGAGGTCTGGCTGTTCATCAGATGGATCCGCACTTTGTAACATCTGCAAGAGCTGATCCATTTTATCCTACAACACAAATTGTGTAATTAGGACATATGCGGGGGGGAGAATTAACACTTTCAGGATAGTAAATGAAAGCAGCTATTTACAACTGCCATTTGGATCTCTTGGGACTTCGAAATCATCTAGACTAACTTTAAGAAAATACAAATTATACACACTACTTCACAGGAATGAAGGTGTTTGAAGAAGGAAAAGCGAAATGATAAAAATTCCCAGTAGTAACAAGTGGAATGTGCAGAATACTCCTTTATACTCTTTTACTCCTAAAAGTATTTCTAACAGTTTTTTCTGAGCAGTTTCTGGTTTTCCATTCTACTTATTACGTATGCAACACTACCACCTAGTGGGATTAGTGTAAATGTTTTGACGGAATACATTGAGAGACTACTTTAAAAAGAAATTGGTACTTAAAACTAAATTCACTGAAAAACTATCCTGCATTTTGTAAGTGCATGAGGCCTATAAACACAAAAGCAGTGTCATTACCAATATATATAAATGGGTTTTTTTAGTATGATGTTTGGAGGGGTCACACGGTTGACTTCATAATAAATTATCATTGATTAACCAGTTTCAGTGCAACACTTATAAAAATACAAAAGAGTGGAAAATTAACAGGAATAAACTCTTTGAAAACTATGTCTTGGAGTCAACTACATTGCTTAACTAAACATTATATGAAAATAATTAAAAATCACTTTATAGCTGGAAAGGGATTTTTCACAAGTATGTGTAGTGATAGGACAAGGGGGAATGGCTGTAAACTAAAAGAGGGCAGATTTAGGTTAGATATTAGGAAGAAATTCTTCACCATGAGGGTGGTGAAACACTGGAACAGGTTGAACAGAGAAGCTGTGGATGCCCGGTCCCTGGCAGTGTTCAAGGCCAGATGTCCCTGCTCATGGCAGGGAGGTTGGAACCAGATGATCTTTAAGGTCCCTTCCAATCCTTACCATCCTATGATTCTATGAAATAGCCTTTAACAGGCCAGAGTTATATAGATCGTGTGAAACTGGAAACTAAACTGTATTTTTTCCTTCTTAACCCCAGAAAAGGCAAGAAGCCGCCAAATGAACTACTTCCTTATAAACTATACTACGATAATTTTAAAAACAAAACAAGACACCAAAATATAAACTAACATGGAATAACAGAAGACAGGAGCTGGAAGGCACCTCAAGGCAGGCCTGAGATAAGCTATTTCAGCAAGTTATAAACTTACTTATACCTCTTGGGAGGAAGAGTATTTGAGGTAGGAGTTACCTAGGACTCTCCTAGGACTTTAGAAGGCTGTAACTGATTTTTCATTTAAAAAAAAAAAAAAAAAA